TTAAATGTCTAGCTTTAAACAACAGAGTCACGAGCCACACAAAGAAACAGGAAGGCAGATTCACCTAAATTAAAAAACAAACCAAAAGAAACTGTCCCCGAAAGGAGGAGATGGCAGATCTACTAGATGACCACTAAAACAGCTGTTTTTAATATGCTTAAAGAACTAATGGGAAGTGTGGAGAAAGATAAGAAAACATCGTATGAATAAAGGAAATATCAGCAAAGGGATAAATAAATCAAAATAAAATTCTAGAGTGGAGAAGAATAATAACTAGAATGAAAATTTCCCCAGAAGCATTCAAAAGCAGATTTAAGCAGGCTAAGAAAGAACCATTAACTTTAAGATAGGGCAATTACTGAAGTTACTGAGTCTTATGAACAGAAAGAAAAACAACTGACATAAATAGAACCTAAGGGAACAGAGGACACCATCAAGCAAACCAACATACACACTGTAGCAGTTCCAGGAGGAGAAAGAAAAAGAGCAAGAATATTTGAACAAATAATGGCCCAACATCCCAAATTTCATGAAAGACATGAACTTAAACATCCAAGAAGTTCAACAAATTTTAAGTAGAGAAACTCAGAAAAACCTGCATAGAAATAATTATAATCAAACTTCTTAAAGGCAGAAAAAGAGAAAATCTTGAAATCAGGCAGAAAAAAATGACTGGTCATGTACAAGACAAACTAAAGGAGATATCTGAAGATCTGTCCTCAGAAACCAGAGAGATCAGAAAGCAGTGAGACAAGTGTTCAGCACATGGAGGAGATGGACTCCTTGTGTCTTGGCAGTGAGACTGTAAAATGGAATAACCGCTATGGAAAACAATAAAGATTTCTCGAAAAACAAAATCTAAAACATGGAAGTAAACCAAATATCCATTAATATATGGATAAGTAAATTATGTGTTGTTATCTCTCCATCATTTTCTCTATCTATTGATCAATCAATATAATTCAACATTAAAATAAGCTCTAACATTGATGACTTTTAAGACCATTATGCTAAATTTAATACTCCAGTAACAAAAAGATACCGTATGATTCTACTTATATGATGTTCCTAGAATAGTAGAAATCAGACAGAAAGTAGAACAGTGGTTGCCTGGGATTTCAGGGAGAGGGAAAAGAGAATCACTAAACAATAGATATCAAGTAAAATGTATGTGCTCTAGCTACATGCTGTATAATATTATACTTATATTAATAATAACAATGTATACTTAAAATTTTATGTAATAGATTGCATGTTAAATATTCTTGCATGTCTTTTGAAAAGACACCTCTTAAGGAGCATAGATCATTGAATATATTGCTATGTATTGCTATGTATGTATGTAAATCAAATAGGGACTTATATCATGAGTTAGTTTTAGTTTTGCAAGATAAAAATAGTTCTGGAGATAGATGGTGGTTTTTATACAAGTATATGAATATACTGAATTCCACTGAACTTTTCACTATTTTTAAGATAGTAAATTTTATGTTAGGCCTATTTTAACATAATAATAAATAAGCTTTAAGAAAAAAACTAAAAAAAGATGGCTGTCATGCCACCAGAAATAACCTGTTGAGAACTAATTATCAATCTATTCAACTTGGTACCATAGATGATCATCCACTGCATCTTAGCAAGCTACAACATTTTTTGAAAAGCATTTGAAGACTGTAATTTTCTGGGAAGTGTCAAAACTGATTAAAAAAACAAGTCATCATATATTCTTATTTTAAACTTCTTATTTGCAATAGGATGTAGCAAACCAATTCAGAAATTTTCAACTCAAAGAGGAAAGTTGTGTCTAGCTCCAGTTCCCAACATCCTTAAATCCTGTGTCCTTTTTGCAGACTATAATTTACATTCCTAACTTCTCAAAGTCACTGCAGCCAAGTGGTATGTCCTGCCATAGAAGGCTTGTGACACTCTTCCCAGGCTGGCCACAATGATGGAGCCTCCTAAATGACTGGACTCCTTGATCATGCTGCCACTGGGCCTATGAGTCTAATTAGGTTCAGAAACACCTTTAATTAACATGGCTTAATAGAGTCAACTAATGACTGAGGAATGCGATTACTGGTGTACACCAAATTTACTCTCCTTCATACTTCATCTTTATAATGCTTATCACCTGTCTTCTAGTCTAGCTTTTTTTGTTGTCTTCTTTTTACTATGACCACATAATTCTACAGAAGATAAGGTGAATGAGATCAATGGTATTCAGTGTAGAAATAAAAAATAAACATAGTAAAGTTTCATTGACTTGTCTTTGAAGATGGCATTCAAAAACATCTTAAATACATTTTCTTAAAATTCTAAAATGCATTCAACCTAAAACTCTAAAGTTACAGCATTCACATTCCTTGTCAGTTTTTACAGCATCTCACTAAATAGATTTTGACTATAGAATTTACCAGATAAATACATAGATACATCAGTGTACATCTGGTAAATCTTCTAATATTTATAAGACATATACATCTATGTCATAAATTGGTACCCAAGCCTTTAGGGAACTTATGGGGCATTTCTGTAAATTAAATGCATGTTTATTGTGAAAATATGACCATAATTTTCATTCGTTCTCAAAATGGTTTGGGACACCCTTCACAGATACCAAACCAAAGGGTTAGAAACCTATGTCTACAACTATATTGTTCAATATTGTAGTCATTAACCACTTGTGACTATTGAGCACTTGAGCACTTGAAATATACCAAGTGAGAATTAAGATGTGTTATAACATACACACAAGATTTTGATGAATTAATGTGAAAAAGAAAACGTAAAATATCTCCATTATTTTTATACTAACTGCATATTGAAATAATAATTCAAAAATTATTTCTAAAAGAGGAATGTAGTGGGTTAAATAAAAAAATATTAACATAGATTTCACCTTCTTTTTGCCTTTAGGAAACTCTAAATTCCATATGACTCATCTACATTTGTATTAGATTGCACTGATTTGGGAATAGCCAAACCTGGTCACAAGCCAGTTGCTGATTCCAGCAGGTTGACAGTTGGAAAAGTTTTCGCAATAGTTCCAAAATTGGATTCTGAGAGGCTTTAGCAAAAATGTAAACCTATGTCAAAACACAAACTGGATTAAAAACATAGGTGTAAACTTTCATGTAAATATTCCAGCATAATAAAGTAGATGTTTGATATCAACTCTGAACTGCATTCTATGTAAACAGAGAATTCATGTAGCACATTTTGATAAGAACCTTAGGTCAATAATAACTCAAAGCAAATTTTAACTTGGTATATCAGTACCAAGGTACATTGTAACAGCCTAGAAAATAATATGGAGATATCCACAGGGAAACTAGAATTCCCAGTCACAAATTACATTCATGAATTTAGATTCTAATTTGTCCTTGCCAACATTTACGTGGTATGTATTTTAACCCCATTTTACAGATGTGGAGGTTCAAAAGATTGAGTCACTGCCTTTTGAGAATAAGAATTCTGTCTTGTTCTCCACCTGGTACACAACAGATGATTGGTAAACTGCCATTGTTTGGCAAGAAACAGTTCATTGAATCCAATACAAGACCTTCCTCCCAAAAGTGTACTATTAAGCAGTTTTTGCCAATACCACACGCTGAGAAAAAAGAAGAGAACTTAGTTATTTGAATTGTCACCATCAATCAACGGAACATAAACATACTGACACTCTCTGCTACAAAATGCTTGTGTACTTTTGGAAAGCTACTAACGTTAAAATCATACTTCCTGGTTCCATAACATTACAAGTGCCAGCTTAACTAGGTATCACGCCTAATCGGTTGGATATACATGCAAGAATTAAAAAAAAAAAGGGTTCATCTTTGTCCCTCATCTAAAATAATACAGCACAGTGCCTGCTCTCTAGCTAGCTTGCTCTCAAATCTCCATTCCCTTACCCTCCTTCCTCGAGGTCTAGATTTCAGTTGTTGAGGCTCTCCATCCAGCCTTTCCCTGGAAAATACACGTTCAACAACATTCCTCTAAAATTTCACTTAAAGTTTTTACTTTTACGAAGGGGTTACAGCAATGATGTGAACTCTTCTGAGCTGTGTATGAGGTTATCTAGGAATCCGGGACTAGAAGCCGAATTCCTCCAGCAACTTCTGTTCCATTCAACTTTAGAGCGCAACCGCAACCTCAGCCTGACTGATCTATTCAGGCCGACCCTCAAGCCCAAACGCGCTCGCACATACCACAGCAGGGCGAGTCTCGGCCGCGCCCCAAACCTAACCAGAAGACTTGAGAGGAGGTCGCAAGCGGTCCCTGCCCAGCTAAATCCTACCCAGAATGGCAAAACAAATATTCCCTTCCCCGATCTTGCCCAGGCGTGATCGCTGCAATTTACCGTCTTGTACCACCAGCTCGCGAAAGCCATGGCGACAAACGGTTTGCTCGAGTCGCGCAACAGAGGACCCAGCGTGGACGCGGTGTGCGGAGCGGAAGGCGCGGGGCTAGCACGCCAAAATCCCTGGACCTGCCAGGGACAGCACTGGGCTAGTCTTGCAGTTACCAGGTGGGCGGGGCCGGGGGCGTGTCCATAAACAGGCCCCGCCCCGCCCGCCCCGCCCGTTTAGGATTAGGGCTGGGTAGGGAAGATGTTTTAGTTCAAGAGCAGCCACTCCCTGCGGCCCTGACTTTACAAGGAAGGCAAAACCTAGCCCCCGTTAAACCAACCCAGCTATTCGGGGGTCCCCCAATGAGTTTTGCCCCCTCTTCATCCCATGCTTAGTTCACACGCGTCTCGCCAACAAACTTTTCCCGACTTGGATCACCCTCTATGCGCCACGCCCAGCGGACCTGGCCCAGGCCTGGCAAAGTCGGGACACCTGCCTGACGGCGTGTAAAGCACCCCGCATTCCCCCAGGCAGGGAAGGGCGCCCGAAGCCGCAGGCCAGGCAGACTACGCCCAGGGGAGGCGGCCCACTCTCCGGGGCCCGCGTCCACCCGGCGTTCAGCCTTGAGGCTCCGGCAGGTGGGCCACTCACCTCCTGGGTGTGGCGGGCTGCCGCGCGCCGAGGCCGCGGGGAAGCAGCGGGCTTCTGGTGGGGCTGGGACATAACCCGGCCGCGAAGAACTCTGCCTCAGGGAGATCGCAGCGGAGACTGGAAGAGAGGCCCGGGCTGGAAGCGAAGGGGAGGAGGCCTAGGGGCCGGCCAGAGTGCCCGTGAGGCAGCTTTTCCGACCCAGCCCCGAGCCCGCGCGGGGGCTCCCCCTCGCCTCGATGGGCCCTCCCCTTCCTGCCAGCTGCAGCCTAGAGCTGTAGCGGTCCCGGCTCCAGGTCTGAAACTTAACACTCTCGGCCCCTAGTCTCCCTCCAGTAATCCTCCGAACTGCTGGCCCCCCAGCGGGTCACCGAGAGGAGGGACTAGAGGTAGGGGGTTCCTCCTTCGACTTGCCTGGGCTTAGCTTGCCGTTAAGTTGCAAGATAGTAAAACCCGGACGCGGCCAGTTTTTGCCTTGAACCTTTCGCTGTGAGTCTAGAGAATTCCGACATTTTATTTTTTTTCAGTCTGCCAAAGTTAAGATTCAAAAGGAATTTGCCAACTTAAATCTGGCCATAGCCAAGACTGTCCAGAAACAGATCATAAAAACAAATGCGTGCGCGCGCGTGTGTGTACACGTGTGTGCCTCTGTGTATATTTTGGTGTCATTTTATTTTGGGATTTTGAGCCTCAAGTTTGAACGTTCAATAATTTTTTGACATACACAAACGGAAAACTTAAAGCCCTTCTGGAGTGTGGCGGGCGTTCTGTAAGAGGCTGGATTGCTTTTGTCTTGACTCTTCCTAAACAGTACTTCCTGGTTTGGGGGTGGAAGTGAAATGTAACAATTCTGACCAGAAAACGTTCTTCAGGACAGATTGCCAGTGGCCCCGCGTTGCTTCCAACCGGTACTCAGATCTTAACTTCACAAGGGCATTGAACACCTTGGGACTCAGGGTCGCTGCTCTCAACAGAGTTGTGGTTTAAACCATAGGACAGGGCCCAAGTTATAGGGAAAAGTTTGTCATGCTCTCTGGAGCTCTGCAGCATGGAAATATTTACTCCATCCTCTCATTTTTAAGGATTCTGATGTGCCCTTAAGCAAGGGAAAGATAATTCTTAATGAGATTATTCTTAAGGAGAAGAGCTTGGAAGGGTGATTTAAATGTATTTCCTCTTGGAGTTTCAGTTAATATCTAACTATCTGGTATTTCCAACAAACAGGCTTCATACATAAAAATGAAATGACTTGGATATGGGGTGTAGGATTTCCAATACAGAAAAATTAATTGATAGCATCTATTATAGTCATGATGGGGGAAATATGTCATAAACCTGAAAAAATATAGTGGTGTTTAATTATTTATTTATGTTTAAGATTTTTTTATTTGTGCATACAGAACTGGGTACAGGCCAGAGGTGCAGGAGCAGTGAGAGGATTCACCAGAGAGAGAGTGGGGAGCACAATAGGCAGATCAATGAAATACACTGCTGAGGGGAGCAGCAGGTGGGTCAGGAAAGGTCTGTTGTGCTATGTAGATCACCTCCTGGGCAGGCAGAGATGGACCTCATGCTGAAGTGGCTTTAGCTTCTTAGTGCTGTGCTTTAACTTGCTGCACAATCAGGGAGGGCCCTATAGTGACTTTTTAAATGTAAACAAAAACCTATAGTAATTTAAGTATGCACAAAAACTTTAGGAGTGAGGTGCTAAGCAGCCTTAGCCCCTGGTCCAAGAACTGGAATCCACTGGAAGTAGGGGGCCTACTTCCAGGTTATATATCCCTCAGTACATTATTCTAACTTGGGAAGAAATTTTAATGATTAATGTTTGAAGTATTGTCTAATAGTATTGTCTTAAAAATCAAACTTAAGCCAGACTTTTATATTTTGCAAAAATTCCATGTAAAGCATTGGTCGTAAGTACATATGTGCTTAAAGAGTTTGGGGTTTTATAGGTTTTGGTGATTATAGGAAAAGAAAGAGGAGCTTTCAACAGGTTGGCTGGCTGTTGGAATGTGAACAGCAAAGAAAGGGTGGGGACTGTCTAGGAAATAAAAAGAAAGGTGGCCACTCACCTGGCTGGAGATACTGGTTCAAATTCAGCATTCATTGATTTGTTATCAACGTACTGTTTACTGAGCTTCCACATTGTGCTGCTTGATAGAATTGATACCAAAGGGGCACCCAGGAACCTCTCAGTGGCATGCCTTTGCGGGGTCTGGCCACCCTGTACACAAGAAAAAGGGGATTCTTAATGCTGTAAAACTATAATAGAATTAGTAAGCAAGCAGTGCTGCTGAGACCTGAAAGCTTGCAGCAAGTAAAAGACCTCTTCTGGCAGGGAACCATAGGAAGGGGGTTCTGAAGCAAGTCCCAGAAAGCTGGAACAAAAGAAACAAATCAAAGTACAAATCAAGGTAGTGGCTGCCATCATTAGCCTCCCCAGGTGTTTCTCACCTACTTGTCTCTTCCAAATCCCTGGCACCAGTCCATAGCCAAGAAGCAAGCAAACCCTTCTTCATGGTCTCCCCCTAAGCCTACCTGCCTTCCATGGTGTAGCTTCACCTGGTGTCTCAGTTCTGCCCCTCTTTAAGTGGGGTGGAGAATGTGGTATCTTCCCTAACAAAATTAGCTGTCAGCTTTTGCTTAAAAATCAGAACTCACATACTGATGGTCTTAAGTAAAGAAGAATTTCAAAGAAGTGATGTTTCCCTTCTCTTAGAGTCAGAGTGGAGTTATAGGAACTTTGGTTCCATAACCAGCATTTGATCATCTTGGAGAAGTTCATTTTAAGTATGGATGGAAACTTCTGCTATATTTTTATCTGCACATGTGTTGTATGTTTATTAGTAAATAAAGAGCTGCTATATATTTGGTTCTGTAGAGGTCCCTGGCACCCAGAGATCCACAATCCGGGAGAAAAGACAGACAAATAAATAAATCTAATACTTCCCAAATAGAAGCATTTTGAGAGTGCTGAGGATCCCTGAGGAGGGGACAGGCAGGGCATCTCAGTCTGAATTGTATTTATTTTTTATTAAATTTTTGGTAGAACTGGGTTATAGGCCAGAGGTGTGGAAGAAGGAGGGGTAAGAGGATTCTTCAGAGGCAGAGTGGGGATCAGAACTGGTAGACTAAAATACAAATGGCAGCAGCAGATAGGACGGGCAAGGTCTGCTGTGCCGGGTATGGGTCAGCCTGCTGGCTTGAGCCTTACCCCTAGGCCACCAGGGAGGCCCAGCTGCTCATTCTGAGCAGAGGTGGACAGGCTGCAGAGAGGGTGGGACTCAACTGCTTCCTCTCCCGTATTTGACTTGAGTGGGTTGAAACCCCTGCAGAATAATCTCCACTCTTTATCTTCTCTTCATCCCCACCACCATTGTAGCTGTTCACAAACTCATCACTTCTCATCAGGAAACATGTAAAATGAGCTAAAGACAGGATGGAATCCAGAGAAGTCAGAGGAGCCCTGAGGCAGAGGAAGCTGGTAGAGAAGTGGGTGTCAGAGGTTGAGAGAGGAGGGCTGTCTAAAATGAGAGCTGGTTCACAATATAACATCACCCAAAGGCTTGGTCAGTACATGAGAGTGTCCATTTGATCTGATAGCTTTGAGGTTTGGGAACCAGCCAGTGGTTACATTTAGAAGGAGGTGCCAAGTTTGCATAATTTACTTTTTCCTTTGATTGTGTTTCACTCTATACTACCCCATACTCCTGAAAGGAAAGTTACTCCCAGATAACCTGAACCCACCCTGGCTGACACCTGAGTGTCCTTTAGCCCCCCTGAAACATACTCGTCCTAGCTGCTTCAAGATTTTCAGCCAAGTATGCGCCACTCCATAGTGATATGTTCCTCAGCAAACTAGAATTAAAGAACAATCCTTATAAATAAGTAAGGACTAATTATCCAAATAAGCAAGGCCTGCCAGTATTCCTTTGCCATGGAAGATGCATGTATCTTAGCAGAAAATTCATCTTTCTGTTTGTTGAATTACTAAAAAAGCTCCTGTGGTAAAAGGGGGCATAGTAGCCAGTTGGAGAATATGTCTAGACCACAGCATCCTATGGTCTGAATTAGCAGCATTTAAAGATGTTTTTAGTTTTCATTGCTACCTGTTAAATACTCCTGCTCTCTCCTAGTGAGCAGAACAGTGGCCTAGGGGTGAAGCCTCAGCGCTATCATCACTATGGCCTGAGTTTGATCCCCAGCACAGCAGACCTCTCCTGTCTTGTCCACTGCTACTCTCAGCAGTATATTTCCGTAAATCTTCCTGTTCTGCTCTCCACTCTATCTCTGATAAATACTTTATCCCTCCCCACTTCCTCCCTCCCCTCCCTCTGGCCTACACCCCAGGTCTTCTATGGAACAAACAAACAACAGTGGTTTTTTAGACTCAACTACCCTCCTCATTTGACAACAAATAAATGAAACTACTTTCCTTCTCATCAAAACTCTGCTTTTAACTGGTGAAGGGGAACCGAGACCAGGAATTCCAGTAAGAGTAGCACTGAGGTGAATCACCCGTCTTTGTTGTTTAAGGTCCTTAATGGCTCCTCAATGCCAACAGGATAGAATTTAGAATCCTAGGGTGGCCTGGCAGAGCCTGGAAAATCTGTCCTGTGATAGCAACACCATCAGCCGCTTCCTGCCTCCTGTATTCCAGTCACTGCTGGCAGTGTTCAGATCCCCGAACATATCTGGCTCTTTCCAGTTCCTGCTTTTGCTAATCTATCCTTGCCCAGGATACTCTGTTCATCCCACTGCAACCCTTTCATCCTCCAGTGTCTTAGGTTAGGTATTTCTTGCTTCTTTCTTGATCCTCTCTACCTGCTTCCAAGGCTCTAATTTCCTCTAGCTTTGCCTTATATTTTAATTTTTAGAGCAGTCTAAGTCCCAGGTCCAATTCTAAGTACAGTTCATGTTGAAGGAAACTATGGCCCAATATTTAAAAAGAAAACTCAAGCATTTTAATCTTTATGGCAGTCCCTACTATAATTGAAAACGCCTGAGTGCGCACACAATGGAACACTCAGTAAATAGTCTTAGTAATCCACTCCTTATCTTATATTCTCTTTCCAACATTCTGAAACTTCCTTTATAAAACTTCCAAATTCAAACAGACGTAATATTGTTTATTTCCTCTTT